GCGAACGGTGCCAACACCAACAACGATGGCGCGGATACCGCCAACAACTCGTCGGGCTCGTCGTCGTCGGGTATCTCGGGCGGCGCGATTGCAGGCATCGTCATTGGCTGCGCGGCCTGCGCCGGCGCCGTCGGGTTCTTCATCTGGAAGAAGAAGAAGGACCAGAGCCGCGAGCAAGAAATTTTTGGTGATGCGCACCAGGACCCCGAGGCCGGCGGCGGCGACTACGCGGCCATGTAAGCTCGCATACATGCAACTGTAACAACCAACAAAACAACCCCGTCTTTGATGTGAGTGTGGTTGCCCTTCGCATAACTGGAGGAGCCACCGAGTGTCCTGTGCAACGTGCAGAGGCCGATACGGTGAGGTAGATACAGCTCAACCGACAACGCTTATAAACCTGCTGCTCGCCCTCGTAACGAGCAGAAAAGGACGCTAAAATCTTGTTAACAAAACCGTGTCGACACTACCCTTAGTGCGCCCACGAGGCCAACTTTTGCTCGGCTTCGGGAAGCTTGTGCTTGGCAGCCATCTCGTAGTACTCTTTGGCTTTCACCAAATCCTTCTCGACGCCGTCGCCGCGTTCGTAGAGCTGCGCCATGCAGAGCTGGGCTTCCGGGATGTCGGCTTCGGCCGCGAGGAAGAAGCACGAGGCAGCCTTCGCGACGTCAGCCTCGACGCCGCGCCCGAGCATATAGCACGCGCCAAGCTCGAACCGTGAGAGGCTGTGGCCCATATCGGCCGCCTTCTGGAACATCTTGAAGGCGCGCGTCGGGTTGGTGTCTGTGCCGTGGCCATGCAGATATGCCTTCCCGACCATGCGCAGCGCCTCGGGCATGCCTTGCTTGGCTGCGCGCGAGTAGAGCTCGAATGCTTTTTCCTTGTCCTGCGGTACGTGCACACCATTGTCGTACATGTACGCGAGGTCGAATTGAGCGGCCATGTGGTCCTGGTCCGCAGCCTTGGTCCACCACTCGAAGGCAACGGCTTCGTTCGCCTGCACGTGCAGCCCATGCAAGTACATGCGGCCGATCTGGTGGCGGCAGTTGGCGTGACCACCCTCCGCTGCTTGATGTAGGAACTTGGCCGCCAGACTCAAGTCCTTCTCGACGCCATGGCCCGTCAGGTAGAGATGAGCCAGCGCGCTCTGCGCCTTGGTGTGCCCCTTGGCTGCCGCCGACGTCCACTCAGCAACCGCGAGCTTGATCGCGCTCTCGTCCTTCTGCTGGAGGTAGCGGACGCCGGTGAGGTACTCGGTAGCGCCGGCGGCCGAGCAGAAAGGGCGCTGGCCAGTGATGAGGAGGCGGCGAAGCATCTCGAATTTGTGAAACTGTGATGGCATATGGAGTTTGTATATCGGTTGCGGGACACGCTTAACGGCGTCGAAATGAATCTTCTTTTATTTATGTCGCTTACATAAACTTTGTTTTGGAAGGATTACTGCTGCTGCGATGGCTAATAACACCCAATGCTTAATACCAAAAATATAGTACAGTATGCCTCAGAACGGCGTGTTATTAGACGCACAAATCAGACGATAGCGCGTAGAAGCAAGCGGATACGGACGCAACTGTCGGTTAGGAACACCCGTCAAGAATACAGTCCCAAACGCTTCCGGCCACGGGACGCAGTACAACGATGAGCTCGCTCGACGATGAACTCGCGCTCTTCCAGGAAGAGATCGCGTCCATCGAGAAGGAGACGACGAAGAAGCGACCCATCGGCGAGGTCGACCCCGACGAGGTCGCGCGGAAGCGGCAGAAGGCCATGGAAGTCGCGAAGGCCATCATGGCGCAGGCGGCCAAGCCGGCGCCTGCACCAGCGCCAGCGCCGCAGGTCATCGTCCGCGCGCCAACTGCGTTCGTGCCCAAGCCTGCAGCGTCGTATGGATCGTCGCAGCACGACGCAGCGTCGTCGACGACGTCGTCCGCCACGAACGTCTCGATCATGCACGGACAGTCGCTTCCGTCGTCGTCGGCCATGCACATGGAGGTGATCGACCACAACACGGGCATGCCGCTCTCGTCGCACGAGCAGCTCATCTTTAGCCAGCAGCAGAGCGTGTACCGGTACCGCCCCGAGCGCAACGTGGCCAACGCGCAGACCAACTCGGACAAGAAGTTCCTTCGCGTCGCCGCCGGCAAGGTCTGGGAGGACGCGACGCTGGCCGAGTGGCCCGAGAACGACTACCGCCTCTTTTGCGGCGACCTCGGGAA